TGTAGATGATGATACATTTAAATATTTTGCAATTTTACATTGAGGAACATTATTCTGAAATTGTTCGACAATTCTTGGGCGCAGCTTTTCAGATTGGTGAATCTCTGCCCATCTTTACTTTTGAGACATTCTGACTCTCTAAGATGCTCTTTTTATACCCAATTATGTTACTGACCTGTTGCCAGTTAACTCAATTAGTTCTTCCAGCTCTTCCTTGTAGCACCACTTACTTTGTCAGCTTTTTGTTGCCCTGTCCCAACTTTTTTGAGATGTGTTGCTGCCATCAATTTTAAAATTACCCTTTTTTTTCTTAACATGGTACATTTTCTCAGTTTAAATATGGGTTTATGAGATTTCAAATAATTGCATTCTGTTTTATGTAGATTTTACACATCTCAACTTTTTTGTAATGAGGGTTGTAAGTTATGTGAATGGGAACATGTAACAAATATAAAATTGGTGTTATCCCAATATGGCTGCAAAAGTAGACCTGCACTTTAACCACTTGCCGTCCGCCAGTTGTAAAAAACAGATGGACGGCAAACTCCCATTGGCGAGACCCCTAATGTCTCCATAAAGAAGACCTGTCAGTGTGCCTGTGCCTTGTTAGCCCCCTTTGTGATAGCAATAACATTAAGTGTAAAAAAAAAATAAGAATTATTGAAAAAGTAAAATAAGTCACATATAGATAAATTAGTAATAAAAAGCAAAAAAGATAGGGTTTCTGGAGGGGTGCAATTAAATAGTCAAGAGAGATGTGCTAAAATATAGAATACATTTTTATTTTGTATAATATAAAAAAACAATGCATTTCATATATCTAACAGAGTATTTCATGTATCTAGCAAAAACCCTGCATGGGATTTGCTTGTATAGGCATTAATTTAGTACATACATATAAATGTGATCCAGGTTATTCAAGGTATAAAGCATGACATTAATCACAAGTTTGACAGATTTAAAATTGTCCCTTTGAGGGCTTAGCTTAATAGGTCCCGACGCGTTTCGCCAGTGGCTTCATCAGGGGACCCAAAACAAATGGATCTATCAGTAAAGAAAATTATTTATTGAGGTACACATTGGTTTATGGTCACAGACATCTCTAAATAGGCACTATTACGTTTGCATATATGATCTATTTTCAACAATTGTTACATGTCGTCAATCTCCTTCAATTTAGTTGTCGGGTACTTACCATGCAGGGTTAGTCTGTGAGGCAAGGGAAGCACTTGGAGGGTCGAGAGAGCGGAAGTCGGATGAATCCAAGAACCACCTCCACGATCTCCTCTGTGTCACAATCGGGATCCCAGGGTTATATAGGGAGAGATGGCATCCAATCATCCAGCCGGCCTCACCGGGAGGCTACCATAGGTGATATATATTGGAAAAAGACCCGACTGGGTATTCATGTGGTTCTATTTTGGTTTCACTGTTGGATAGAGGGAGTAGGGCATATGTATAATAATTGTCATCTGTTGTCCTACCGTGCTTCTAATGTGAATTTATTTCAATTGCTCATAACAGTAAGCTCCTAGATTGTGTGGGATCCACGCTAATTGTTAATGGTGTATTTCTAACTTAACAACGTGTATATATGTTTATATGGTTTCTATATGAAACCAAGTGTCCATACCAGAAATAGGTGAAGAAAAGAAAAAAGAAGAGGAAGAGAATTTAGAGGGTGGAGAAAAGGAAGAAAAAGCGAAGAAAGAAAACAAAACCAAGCAGCCGCAAACATCAAAAGTGTATATATCCACTGCAAAAAAAAAAAGGGGGGAGGGGAGAGACGTGGTGGAGGAGGAGGGAATCCATGGTGTTGTAAAGTGTATGTGTATTTTTGATTGTATGTGCTGCATGTGTAGGTGCTTAGGTACAGCGTCATTAACCATGAAGGTGTATATATAAATATAAATATGTCCCAAAGTATGTGAGTGTTATTGTAGTGGGTTGTGTGGTGTAAAAATGGTTGGATTCTGCAATCCTTGGTGAGTAACTAGTGTCTGCTAGCTGTGGTAAGTAAAGACTGTGTGAGTCTTGCATGATTTATTGGCCCTCCCTCTTGGCAGAACACGTGTTTCTAGCGTTTCTTTTCTCCGTACCAAATGGCTGGAGGAAAGGTGAACAGATTTCCATCATTCTTTAAGATGCCATCCATATCTATAAACATTTTTTACAATTCTAAATTATAAATAATTGATGAGCCCCCACGGGTTGTGCCCTTAGTGGGGGTATTTTCTGATATTGTGTCCCAGGTGTGAAGCTAAGTTCGTCTCTGCCCCTATAGTTTACCGGGTCATTAGCATGGGTATGTCCCAATGGCCATTCGGTTCGTCCTCTATTAATCATTATGCATATATATAGAAATAGCGAAAGCCATGATTGTCCGGGTGTGCGTGCGCATCTATGCAGTAGTCGCTTTCTAGGGGGGAGGAGCTCCTCCCGCTGGCAGCTTAGCAACGAGGGAAGCCTCTTTTGACCAGTGTCACTCTCTACGATTGCGGAGAGACAGACTATGTCCTAATGCACGGATCCTGGTGGCCCCTATTATTCCATATGTTCGGTGGTCAGTTATATTTAAAAATATGGGGGATTGCTGGAAGGGAAAACATAGTTTCGTGGAGTCTAGAGATCCCAGATCGTGACATGGAAATCCTCCCCATACCCCCCAAAGTCAGTCCTGCATGTTTATAGTAGTTCAATCGCATCATTAGTAACCAAATATCTCTATTTGTATGACTTACATTATACTCGAACACATTAATTTCGATTAATTATAACGAACATACAGATCCAACTACATTGGCCTATACACATACAGCACAGCAATGAAGTAATAAATCGATTTTCTCTCCCGGCCGGGATGTGTACTCACCGGCCCAAGCAGCTTCATCGGGTAACGAAGGGAAGGGGAAGGAGTCCAGTGACGTGACGGACATCGACGTCACCGGACTACTCCCCCCTTCCCCAAGTGGCTGTCGGCTGAAGAAGGAAGGAGTCCGGTGACGTCGATGTCCGTGACGTCCCCGAATCTCCGACGGAAGACCCGGAAGCCGGCGGAGAGTTGAGTACGGATCAAAAGAACTTTGATCGATCAAAATAATTTTGATCGATCAAAAAAATTAACGATTAATCGAGGAATTAATCGTTAATTTCCGCAGCCCTAATATACATACATACATACACAGTACAAAAAAATCCATATACCAATAATACAATAATATTATATATTTATGTATATATACATCAGATTTGTGAATTGATGTTCAAGTATCTGTCAGTGTAAAGGTCACAATTTATTAGACAGCCCGAGACCTTTTTAAAAAAACGCTGAGGAGTAAAGTCCCTAATACAGAGTTGACTAGTTGCTATGGGCAGCAAATGAAATAAATGTTCTCTATAACTAGACAACCAGGACATATAATTGATTCTATATTATCCACAAAGGGTTAACAGCACTCTCTCAACCCTGCAGCAGTAGATCTCAGTGCCTGTACCTGCTCTCAATAGTAGTCTATGTCCGCCCTCTCTGTGCAGCAAGTAGCTTCTTCCTTCTGAGAGCCAAGCCTCGTTCTGAGGCTACTCTAGAGATCACATGACCTTCCTCCAGGAGGCAAGCCTCACTCTGAAACTTTACCCACTAATATCTTACCGGAAAGGTTTACTCACAGTAAACCTTTCAGGGAGAAAATGCCTCTCTCGCTGATGTCCGGGAGCGCTATCTAATAGCGGGAGACTCCCTGAACATCAGTGAGACTTGAGATCCCTGCGCTATGGCTGATATCTGGTCCTAATGATTTATTTGCATTAAGTTTATCAAGTCTTTGTTGAACTCCGGTTACTGTCAACCACTGCGGTATCTTACACACTAAGCTACTCACATTCTTATCTCCATTAAACCCGTCTTTTTCTTGAGTGTATACTGAGAAAAAAAATGAATTTAATAGCTTAGCCTTCTCCCTGTCGTTTGTGATTAATCTCCCATTCTCATATTTTTTTGGGCCTACCTGCTCTTTTGTTACCTTTTTATTGTTTATATATTGGTAGAATTTTCTGGGATTCTTCTTACAGACCGTGGCGATGTGATTTTCGTAATCTATTTTAGCTGCTTGAATATCGTGTTTACTTCTCTTATTGCATTCCTTGTAGCTCTGGAATACCAATGCTGTCTCCTCCGAAAAAAACCAAAACCATAATAAAATACATTTTGTTACAGTGTTGTGAAATGGAGGAATTCTCAGCCAAACTTGCACAGCGCTGAGAACTAAAAAATGGCCTGGTGATTCTCCATTTAGAGGGGTCTGAGCTGATCATAGCTGGTCAGCAATCTGTGCCCCATCTATGGAACAAATGACACAACTTGTGATGGAGTGGCATAAGGCTCCATTCCCACATGAGCGGTTTTCTGCGAGTTTTCCGTGCGGAACGCAAATGCCATATGTGAATGGAGCCTAACTGCTGATAAGGTGTATACGAATCTGTTGCAGAATTGTACATGTGAAAATATTTACTCTAACATGGAAAAGGTCTTATTTACTCCCACTTTTCTTATCACCGGTATGGCGCTATTTCTTACATTTGGCACACTAGAATTACCTGAGTTTATCGCACGTGCTGGAAATAGGGAGTAAATTGTTGCATGGAATTTGTTGCAATTTTCTAACAGGGCCATAACGCCAGAATTGCCACAAATTCCTTATTGAATCTGCTTCTATGTGGTAAAATGTTGAATTCCCCGGTAATAAAGACCCGAGCTGACCATTTTTGTATAAAACGACATATAAATACGCGTAATCTGAGGGAGTGACTACATCTAATGAGAAGCAGCAGTCATTACACCATCTGCATTCAACGAAGTGAAGGTAGAATGTGCCCGGTGTTCTGTCACAAAAGTAAATCTATCAGATTAGCTTTTATGACAAAACACCGGCTGGCGTGAGTTGAGAAGCCGCCAACGCGAGGTAAGGAAGTCTCGCGAGATTTGTTGTCCTAGATGCGGAAGCGGCAGCAGCTGGGAGGAAAGCTGCAGGGTGCGCCCGGACAGAAGTGGAGCTCCGAGCCAAGGCCAGTCGGCAGGATTTGAAGAAGGAGAGCGGTGCATGGACCTGGAGGGGAGCAGTGACTGCACAGCTCGGAGAGTAAGTTCACATAACAGGCAATTCCCGCACAAAGCTGCTTTCTATCCCATTCACACGTGTCTCTGCCATGGTATACGGCTGTCCCGTCCTTTCCTGATTCCTCACACTGTACATCCTACAGGCATCGCTGATAGAATCGATGCTGCCAGCTTGGTTTGTCAGACTGAGCTGTGCAATTCCCAGAGTTGACTAATGGCAGTGGAACAATACGTTGTAAATATATACTTATATTTACATTTCAAGTATTGCTGCTGTTGCCTTTTTTCCTTATAGTGCCTCTTTTTGCTGGAAAATCTGTCATCACAAATTAAATCCTATTGATTTCTGCCTACAGGGTTGCTCAGTTGCCTTGCATGTGCTCCCTAGAGCCACCCTTATGTGTGTGCTGGGCACTTACAAACAGGCACCACAGATGGTAGCCGAAGCTATAAATGCTCAGGCACACATGTGCAAAAGGGTGACCCAGGGAATTATGGGACATGTAGTGCCAATGCCCTAGACCAGTGATGGCGAACCTTTTCGAGCCCGAGTGCCCGAATTGGATCACTAAACCAGCTTATGTATCTCAAAGTGCCCAATTTGCAATTAGACCTGAATACTGATGATTTCTTTTAGAAAAAAACATTTTGTAAGTTTGCCCACTTACAAAGAAATGAAAGGTCTATCATTTTTATCATAGGTGTATTTTATATGATACAGAATATCAACCAAAAAGCCAGAAAAAACAATACATAACGAGTTGCCATTAGGAGCACCTTCTTAAATTGACAGGACTAATTTGTGTACCACAAAGCCAGTATGTGGGAGCCAGAATTATTGTTTGTTGGTAGGGGATCAAATACTTATTTTACTTAATTTATAACATTTGTATCGTGTTTTTTTTTTGTTTTTCTTCTGGATTTTTTTTTTGATATTCTGTCTCTATCATTTAAAATACACCTATCTGCAGGGGATCAAATAATTATTTTCCTCACTGTAATTATGTGCTTAAGTCTTGGGTTCTAATGGAGGCTGCGTGGCTCTCGGGGGCTTTGTGCCTCTCAGGTGGTCTGTATGTATGGGCTCTCGGGTCATCTGTATGGGCCATGAGGACAAGGAGGGGCATACAATCGCTGCAGCAGAGGAGGAGATAGGCTGGAGGGAGTGGTGTCATAGGCGGCCGGTTTGGAGGATCGGTAATTGTTATTTTTGACCCTATGCAAACATGACGATTTTAACTGGAGTTCTTTAATATTACTTTTAATGCGGAACATCACCCTCCCAAATCAAAATGGTTTACCTTTTGGTGCTGTAGTAGTATATTTATAAGCCCAACAGATCCATTGTTGTCTTTTGTCTTCACTGCTCTCCTACTACACATCCTGTTTCGCAAGGCCATTTTCCTTGTTAACGTCATGGGGAGCCGGCTGTCCCTTCTGGTTCCTGTAGCTGGCCTCCTAATGATAAGGCGCCAGAGCTTGCACTTATGCAGACAGAGATCAGGAGTAGTGATGAGCCGAACACCCCCTGTTCGGTTCGGATGCGAACCTGGAAAAAGTTTGAACTCAATGCAAGTCTATGGGGGTAGAACTTTGAAAATCAATTGACCCCATTTTGAAGGCTTATTTGCAAGTTAATGGCCATAAAAAGTGTATGGGCATTCGGGTACTGCCCTGGGGGACATGAATCAATGCACGGCGGGGGTGTCCAGCGGGGGGCGCGGCCCCTTCTTCGGGACGCAGAAGCGATCTGGCGACAGGTAAGTCGCCAGGATCGCTTCTGTTGTAAAGCCAACAGTCGGCTCTACAAGTTTAAACAGAGTCCCGGGAGTCTGTTTAAACAGCCCCGATGCTGGCGACGTACACTGTACGTAGTCAGTCACGAAGGGGTTAAAGAAAAAAAAGTGTGCGGTTCCCCCTCTCAAACAATACCAAACCCCTTAGGTCTGGTAAGAATTTTAGGAGGGACCCCAGGTAAAAAAAAAGTGTGTGTGGGGTTACCCCCTTAACGTCATACCAGGCCCTCAAGGTCTGGTAGGAATTTTGAGGAGAAACCCCACCCTAGGCCTGGCAGGGGGGGGAGGGGGCGAGCGTCCCTGCGATACCAGGCCACATGCCCTCGGCCCTGGGAGGCTGCTTTTCCAGGCCCCTGGATAAGAAGTTTCCTTTTCCCCACTATCCCTGGAGGCTGCAGAAGGAGAGTAAAACTTAATTCTCTAGAGGAGGCAGATTGCAGGAGTGACCCCTTTTCCACGCAGGGTTCTATTATGGAGCCACTCTTATGGGCGTCTCCACAAACACACAGCAAGGCAATCCACTCCCCTGCTCCTCCCTTTTCCAAGCTAGTAGAGAGAGAGCTGCTGGAGACTGTGCTCTCCCTTGTGATCTTGTACTGGAGAGGATGTTCAGGGACGCAGAGCTGAGAGAGTTGAAGCTGTTTGTAAACATGTCTAAGTGTTTGTGCAAAATTTAAAAGAATTACTTTGCTAGGCAATGTGTATTTAATCTGGATTCGTTTTTGAAAAGAGGCTTTAGAGTTTAATACTACTTTAAATCTTAATTAGGGCTGCAATGAATAATCGATTATCCCCCAGGGGTGTGGAAATGTTGGAAAAAGCTGCTTGTCCAAGGACTAAAGCGGGGACCGAATCTACTTGTCCTTCATGACAATCTACTTGTCCTGATCCAAAAAAAATAATTTTAACCAAAACCGTATTTAGCAGTGCTATGAAGAACTTCTCATTGGTAAGTGCCGTCAGGTGACTGCGTTGACCAACGAGTGCTTGCAATTTGCGAGCGAAATTCAGAATACATGGAACAGGTACAGATAGTACACCCGTACTGGTGGACAGGAAGGACCGTTTGCTGAAAGGTAAGTATAGTGGGAGGGAGATTTGTGTGGGTAATTCCATTTTCCCAAATTACTTTGGAAAGTGAATATACCCTTTAGGGTTGGTGCAGACTTGATGATTCCCAGGACGTGCGATCGTGTGCGGTTGCATACAGCGGTTGCATACAGCGGTTGCATCCGCATGTATGGGGTTACATCTGCGTGACAATCGCTGAAAAAAAGGTAGATGTACCTATTTTCACGACATGCACCGTGCAGTGTTTTCAACCGTGATCATGTGGGATCGCCCGGGCAGTATTGCAGCAGGAAAATGCGCAATCTGCCTGGCACGACTGGGGTGCCATTAGAAAATAATGGCACTGACAGCACGATCGGCGGTGGTGTGCGATTCCGTGACCACCCATCCATACGCTCGGTTTCGTGCACGATGACCGGGCAGTCAGAGATCACACCACTGCCGATCGTGCTGGCAGTGCCATAATTTTCTAATGGCACCCCAGTCATGCCAGGCAGATTGCGCTTTTTCCTGCTGCAATACCGCCCTGCCCGTGCGGTTGCACACGATTGCAGTTGAAAACACTGCACGTTTATTCCCATGCAGATGGGGGCAGCGGGGCTGGTTTTAATTTTTTCTATTTTTATTTACTTTAAAGAAAAATAAAACAAATGAAAATTTTTTACAATCCCCTTTTTATTTTTTACATTTTTAATTTTTCTTTTTAACTATTTATTTAGAGATGACAGGTACTCTTTATTGACCCTGTCACCTCCAACACAGGAGTTCTAGCACAGCACTGTTGCTAGAACTCCTGTGATAGGAACGAGCAGCGGCCGTCGGGTACAGAGGCTGGGGGAGGTGACAGCTTCCTGACAATTATGCCGGGATCCGCACAGCTGCGTGACTGACAGCTGGCTCTGGCTTTAAAATAGGATAATGCTTACCTGTGTCTTCCCCGCGCGCTCCCTTCCGAAAATGTGAACATTCTCGGGATGGCCGCAAAGCATCTTGGGGCGGGCGCATGCGCAGTTCAGATTTTTGGCCGGGAGACGAGGAGAGACAAAAGGTAAGTCTTTGGACGCGTGCACCTGCATGCAGACACCGTGGGACAGAAAGTGCCAGGAAGGACAGATGAGTCAGCGCTGGATCGGAAACCCGCAGCAGCGCTGGAGGTACAGATGAAAAGGACAGGAAAGAAGAAGATCGTATTAAGAAACATAATTTAAGGTAAGTGCTGACATTAACATTGGGGGGAGGGAAGTGTTTTTTTTTTTACTTTAATGTCACTTTAACGTCTTCTCCTGTTCCCCCTGTGTATGACGTGTACGTAAATCAGGTGTGGAATTCCTATCACCTGATGCCTGGGACATGCAGTTCCGGGCACCGGGCAGGTCCCCCCCCCTAACCCCCCGC